ATCAACTCTAAATGTTTCTCGTTCTCCTCCTTCATTACGATGTATGCATGTAATGACAGTTAAAGTATGTCCAACTTGATCGAAGTCATGAACAAACATTGATGTTGCCAATCAATTATTCGCTTGCATTGCTTCCACCACTATAGGAGTACAAATTTGACCTCTATTGATCAGACACTCAATCTCTTTCCCTTTGTCAAACCAAACTTTAGCCAACCTAAAGTAGGTATCTTTCACAACACTTGTTATTGGGAGATGTCGTGTACCGTTTAGTACTGAATTAATGGACTCAGCAAGGTTTATTGTCGTGTGTCCGTATCGTCGACCACTATCATATGCTTACGACCATTTTTCTCGAGGGATTTCCGAAGACCACTTCCAAACACGCTCATCATACACCCACTTCAAATTCTCCAACCTCTTATCAAAATTTGGTTTGTGTAGTTTATATCTCGTTTCATAATATCTATTGGTTAACTTTAATTTAAAAACAAACACAAAAATGGATACATATGTTAAAAATAAAACTTACCCATATTGACTATCTCACTACGAATGCGACCATTATGAAATTTCTTGACGCATTTCTTACCAATATGTGAATACAATATGAAGGATATGCGTGCGGAGGTGTCCATAGACTTCATGGTCATTCAATTGCCGCCAAAAGCCCTGTTCCTCGATTAGATATCAAGCACACTCCATCTTCTTGAACAACATACTTGCGTAGATTGGTCAAAAAGAAATCCCAATCCTCTGTCATCTCTCCTTCAATAATGGCGAATGTTATTGAAAATATATTTTGTAACACCCTAGACCAATAAAACACACATTCGACCAATTTAAGGTGCAACACGAAACCACCGAAGTGGCTAACCGACTTATTTTGACTTTTTCTAACTTTAAAACAACCATTATATTAACTGACTATAATAAAATAAAGACAAAATAAAACATAGATAAACTTTTCACTAGGAATCTCTCAAAATAAAATATTTACATTACAAAATATTACAGAACTTTTTACTGAATTTACGATTCAACTGTACATAAATATTTACAAATATACATTCCCTTTTAAAAATACTGAGACGTACTTTGAATCTGCATTGGTCTGAACTAGGTTTTGGTCTATCTACTGCTCCTCACCTATTAGATCTACTAACATGCCTATGGAAACAATCCGAAGGTTGAGCTAACTAGCTCAACGACACACTAATAGCTAAAACATACTAACCGCATATCACTGAAAGACTAGCTATCAAGTCTACTGATCTGATATGCTTTAGTGAATATCCTTGTGATATTCGCTCTTTACGCTATTATAGGCATCATGGTGCAGCTGAGGGATTACTGCATCTCGGAGCTCATGCACCCCTCTAGTCTATTAGGATATGGCCCCCAAAATTTTGCATCGAACACCATATCCCTGACTAACCACCCCTTGCGAATGTCACCCTCGACCTTAGTTAATCGATTGTAAGGGCCTTGTGCCTTACCTAAGGATATATCTGGACCACATCTATACTTTCAACTCTGCTAACTTTTCTAAATGAACTCGGGTGTCCAAATCGTTTCCCGAGCATCAAATAAGGCTAGTCTTATTTGTCCCTAATTATTTAGTTTTTACGTTTGAATTAAACATCAATTATGTTATCACTTGTAGTCTTATTTAGTGATATAAATAAGTGTTGGAGTACCTCGAGTCTAAATCCCTCGAAAATGGACTTTTTAACCCAAAACAGACTGAAAGTATCGATACTAGTCCTTCAATATCGACACTCTTGCAAAAGTTCTGATACTTCCTGGGAGTTTCGAAACTATGACATAAAGTTCGATATTATCCCTATAGTATCGATACTCTACCTGCAGACACCATAAAACAAGTATGAAAAACTCTTTTTTCGTAATCCAAAAACCCTAAGAGGTCCCCAGTCATTATTAAAGTCTTATGTGATATTAAGGGAGCATAACTAAGGCTTAGAAACATGCTGAAACCATTAAACATAAAATCTACCATGGAAGGCTAATAAACATGCTCATACTCAAATTTCAAGCTAAACTTCTTTCTAATGATCCTACAACTGGTATGGAAAAGCTAATAGTGTGTTACTTGATTACCTTGGCTGCTAAAACACCGCTTGAATCAACTAGGATTCACCTTCCCCTTGCCTCTAGCCTTTGAATTTTCTCCAACTTCTTTAACTATTAAGGTATGAAAAATGAGTTATTTACTCAACTAGAGGCTTGATAAAACCTAAATACACTCCCTACAACTCAAATCTTTCCTTAAAATGACTTGAATCACTTAATTTCTTAAAACCCATCAAAACTCATTTTTGTTTCTTTTAGTATTTAAACTTTCATTTATTTTAAAGTCATATTTAATATTTATTTTTTTTATTTCATTTTAGTATATCACTGTTAAAAATTTAATGAATAAGTTGAATGCAACACATTTTTTATAGGCAAATTGCATCATTCATCACTCAACTATCTTCTCACTCCTATTTTAGTCACTAAAATTTAATTTTTTTAATTTAATTACTTAACTTTCAAATTACTCCTAATTTTATCACTCTAACTTCCAAATTTATTTTTTATTTTATTTATATATTGAAAAATAATAAAAAATTCCATTTCATAAAAATTATAAATAAAATAATTTAGAGTGATTAAAATAGGAGCAATTTAAAATTTGAATAGTTAAATTGATTTTTTTTAAAATTTTAGTGACTAAAATAGGAGTGAGAAGATAGTTGAGTGAAGAATGATATAATTTACCCATAAAATATACGACGACTTTAACTTTTTAACGGCGTCTACTAAAATAAAACAAAAAATGTTAGGTAAAATTTTGAAACAAATGAAAGTTTAAGTGTTAAAAGGAAATAAAAAAATAGTTTAAATACTAAATATGTATTACCCAATTTTAAATTACAAAATGAGGATGGTGCGGGGTTGTTCGATTGTACCTTTAAATTTATAATTCATAGTGATACTACCCATAATAATGAATTTGTTAATCATTTTCTTCTCACCGGTAAAATAACATTTTATGTCTATATATTGTTTGATATAAATAATTGAAGTTTTAGATACATCTAATTATGAATCAAGTTATTGTTCCAAATTATTGTTATTTTCTTTTTGAAATATATCTTTTATTTAATTAGACTCAATTTAATGTCATAAACTATTCCTTTAATAGTAAAAAGAATATTTTTGTTATATATATTATATTAATTATTATTTGATATGATGAGATATTAAGTTTTTTTTATATAAAATTAAAAAATTTAAATTATAATTTTATTAATCATATAATTAGGAAATTTTTATATATTTTTGTATTTTATACTTACAAGCATAACCGTAAACTAAAATATAATTAGGACATTTTCCTATAATTATTGACACAAAAACTAGTCACCTAGATCACACAATGACCAAAGAATGGAAGGTTAAAAAATCTAACCAAAAAGCTCAAACAAAATAAAGATACGAACAATTCTGACTTCATCGACAAACGAACCACAAAAGGGGATAAAACAACTGAAAGACCACGAACAAATTGCAAATCAGAGCCGAGCAATGTGAGAAAACTATCCACGAACGCAAAACGTGTATCCAAATCAATCCGAGGGTCTCAAGCAGGGAAGATCAACATAGTAATAAAAAAACATCATCTTGATCAGTTGTGGCAGTATCAATTCCAACCCTGAGAAAAAAGATAAACAAAAACATTGGCCAAACGATTGAAAACTACTAAAAAACAGAAAAAATGTGTCACAAAGACAGAGATAAACGTGTCACAAAAACATAATTATTCTTATTAAAAAATTAAAAAGAAAAAAGAAAAAATACAATCGATAGTCGATAACCAATATCAAAATCGATATCGCCGACTAAAAAAATAAAAGAAAAAACTATATTGATCTATACAAAATGGCATAAACTGTAAAGATAAATGGGGGAGATAATGAACATTTTTAATATTTTATATGAAATCATCATTAATTAGTTAGATATTAATAATTCTTAGGAAATGGATTGTTTTCTTAATAACTCTTACACGTATCATTCCTAAATATCCTAAAAATTAAAACAGCCGACATAACTGCCTCACTATAATAATTTTTGCTTCTGCGTAGTAATTATAATATTCCCTCTCTCTCTTATTTTTTTAATTAAGTCTTTCGGTCGGTAAATCAAATACTCTAAAAATTTTGGTTAAGTCGATTTTGGGTGGAGAATATATTTTTTCGGGTTAGATAAAATTGAGTATATATATATATAAAGTTGGGTCGAGTATGGGTGTTCAATCGATTAATTCAATTAATCGACCGAACCATATCACCAAAAATCCATTAATCGATTTTTTTCATTTAACCGTTAAACGAGTTGAATTTTTTTCAAAAATTTAACCGAACCGAACTAAGTTTGATTAATTAGTCGGTTAACCAAATTAATAGAAATTTATACATAATTTATAAATAATATATATTAAGCATTAAATATTTAATATTTTCGATATATTAAGTTGATTCGATTGAGCTAAAGTTTAAACACTCCTAAAAAAAATGGTTGTCCCTTTTTCCCATATATATGGGGTAAGGGGAGATAAGATAGTAGGCTACCCCAACACCAGGTTGAGAGCAGCTTCCATAAGAGACCTCCGAATTATGAAATGCCCTCCGTGAGACTCGATCCCACGACCTCAAGGTTAAGAATCTTGTGCTCTACCAACTGAGCTGGATGATCATTCAGTTAATTAACTGATCTTGAACCGAATTAACCGGTAACTGAAGTTTAAAAAAAATCATTAATCGTTAATCGATCGAATTCAAAATTAATCGACCAATGAACAGGTCGAAATTTCATGTAAGGTGAAATTACGTTGAGGTATTTATTATTTGTCTCATGTCATGTTTATATAAATTATATATATATTAAGTCAGATCAAAATGACCGAAATCCGACCAATTCGAGCTGTTATCATCCCTATATAATAAAATAGTCTTATTCTGCATGAAGAAACTTTATATATATACCCACACACGTCTTAAAGGTTTTAGCCCAAGTTTTTGCCAAATGCCCACTGCAAATACTTCTGAACACTGTCGAGCCCGCAAAGCTCCTTCACCACAGGCATGGTGGCTGGTACCTCCATTTGGATTAATGTCGAACCAGCCTCCTTTTCGCCACCCCATGAAAGGACTTGCTGTCTCGCTTCTCTTACGGCTGCTCTTGTGGCACAGTGGACCGAAACCGCTAACGTTAATGGCGGCTCACCGGAAGCTGCAAAAGAGAAAAATAGTAGAAATTTACAACAAAGTATGATATGCGACGATTCAAGTTGCAGTCATAATGTGCATTTTTGCTCACGTTGCGTTTATAAAATCGACATGTAATCGAATGACTTGCCTTTGGAAGAAAGAACACGGTCTTTATGATGTCCACTGTTGAGGATTTCAACGTTGAATTGCTTTGGAATGGTGTCCACCGTAGGGATCTTGTAAGTCCATGTGTTATCTGTGATCACTAATCCATCTGAATTCGTGAGGTATTCTTCGAGCATGAAAAACCCAATTCCTTGAACATAAGCTCCTTCGATCTGTCCCAAATCAACTGCAGGATTTAAGCTTTGACCGCAGTCGTATATGATATCTGTCCGGAGAATCGTCGTTTCACCTGTTATAAGGCTTACCTCCACCTGCAGAATCAAATCTCTGAAACTGGTAAACTATGAAAGCAATCTAAGACTGGTATGATCTATTATGACTACTTTATTGTGTTCATCGGCTCGTATCTGAATGTACTTCAGCAAGAATTGCATTACTTGTAATACAAGCATGAAACAAAAAACAATGAAATCAATCCAAGACTGTGGCATGATCTGTTATAGCTACTATATTATGTTAATTGGTTTGAATTCGAATGTAGTTTTGACGAGAACTGCATTACTTGTAATACAAGCATGAAACAAAAAACAGTGAAATCAATTCAAGACGGTGGCATGATCTGTTATAACTACTATATCGTGTTATTTGGTTTGAATTCGAATGTAGTTCAGCAAGAATTGAATTACTTGTAATACAAGCGTGAAACAAAAAACAATGAAATCAATCCAAGACTGGCATGATCTAACTACTATATATCGTGTTAATTGGTTTGAATTCGAATGTGCTTTGATGAGAACTGCATTACTTTTAATACAAGCATGAAACAGAAAACAAAGAAATCAATCCAAGACTGTGGTGTGGCATGATCTATTATAACTACAATAACGTGTTAATTGGGTTGAATATGCATGTACTTTGATGAGAACTGTATTGCTTGTAGTACAAGCATGAAACAAAGAACAATGAAATCAATCCAAGACTGTGGCACGATCTGTTATAACTACTATTTTGTGTTAATTGGTTTGAATTTGAACGTACTTTGACGAGAACTGAATTACTTGTAATACAAGCATGAAATCGGAAGCAAAATAAGTCATATAAAAAAAACTTGCCTCACTTACTGCCGCACCATAGTTTATATATTGTGTGGTGGAAAAGTTCGGCATGTATAGTGCACTTGCTGATAAGTTTACAGACTTATCATAAGCCTGCATACCAGAGAAGAAGTATGAAACTGTGATTATTATCTTATCAGGAAATGTCAAAGAAGTGGAGATGGCTACCTCAACAATCAGCGCCTCCCATTCTACGGGACCGACTTTCTCCATCAACTTTTCCTTGAGAGGGATAAGTCTTTCAACCAAGATATTGCAGCAGAGTCGAACTGCTTCACAGCTTGCTTCCGACGTTGTGCTTCCTGCAGTCAGACCACCTTGAATTACACTCAAAGTATCAGTTTCAATGACCCTTACTTTCTCCAACAGATCACGTGATCCACCACATTTAACCAAGCCAAGACCATATGCAGCCATTTGTTTCACTTTTGTCCAGAGACCCTGCCCCATCTCGATTCCTCCAACCTCAACAACGATCGATCCATCACGTAGAATGCTTACTTTCCCCGGTGTTGGTCTCATCATCACTTCATAAACAATAGGCACCCTTGAAATCCCTCTTTTCTTCCATTTATGACACCTATTGAATTCTTGAACCATATTGGTCCTGTCGTAAAAGCTTGATGTAGTGGCCAGCCTCTCCCATATTGAAGGTAACGTATATTCCAATGGTTCTCCTGCAGAGCTCGGAAAGAAGAAGTTGAGGCTGTTGTAAGTATGGAGATTAATATTTCGGACAGAATCAACTTCCATAGAAAGGTAGGACGCGACATGTTCGATTACAGCTTCAGCAATGTATGAGGCCTGTAGATTTCCCGGGGCTCTTACCGCTCCTCGGCTTGGAAGGTTAGTTTTGCAGAGCTTTATATCAAAAGATAGAGCACCCCAATCATACTTTCTAAGTGAACCTAGCATATAACTCGGCATTATAGGACTTTCATCAACAAACATTCCTGCATCAATCAATATATCAAGTTTGAGGGCTGTAATCTTCCCGTTGCTTTTGCATCCCACACTGTAAGTTATTTTCATCGGATGCCTTCCTCCTGACATTATCATATCAAATTTCCTGTTCACATAAACTCGAACCGGACTGTGTAATCTGTAAGCAGCTACTGCACATGCTGATGCAACCTTTTAGTATATGGAAAAACAAAATAGGATATAAATTATAATGGAGCAAAACATATTTAATTAGATGCATTGCAATGAACTTTACTTTCTTTTTTGCATAATATGATATGGATAGAGATGATCAATAAATAAGTATAAAAGAAGAAGAAGAAGGAACATACTGCCATGGATTTTACAGATTTCCCACCGAATCCTCCTCCGAGCCTTCTAGTTTTTACGCGAACATTATGGCCAGGAACACCGAGGCATGCAGCTATTGTATTGTGAGCAAACTCGGGGTACTGAGTAGAACTGTATACCACCATGCAGTCGTCCTCGTCCGGGATGGCAAGAGAGGTTTGTGTCTCCATATAAAAGTAGTATTGTGACCCAAGTTTGATCTAGATGGAACAATTTAACCGAAACATCAACAGGTTTTCCAATGATAAAAGTCTATCATTAGTTCCCTGGTAAGTAATGGCTCTATAAAGTGTAGTATGGCTAAATTTATACAAAGAACGCCAAACAAATTTAGATTTATGAGGTCGCTACTAGAAGCGGAAACAAAGAAAATAGGAACATGCCTGAGCATCATGAATTTGGTGATCAGCTTCAGCCATTCCTTTTGAAAAATCACCGACCTGTTCAGGATAAAAGGAAGGAGGGACCTTATAAAAGCTACATCTCTCAACTGCCTCTTCAACAGATAATATTGGTGGCTCTAGATTTTCCTTGTCATATTCAACCACTACAAGATTGGCTGCGATGTCTGCGTTTTTCTGCGAATCTGCAACCTGAAATCATAATTACCATAATCAAGTTCTAAAAACTTGGGAGCCATAAGCATGACAGAAACTTATATAGCATTGTAGCACATCAATATCAACTATAACCATGAAATTACCACAAAGGCAATCCGCTGACCAACGCCTTCTGTAAGCTCATCAGCATATAAAGGTTCAGTTCCAAAAATCGTTATACCACCCAAATTCAAACCAGGAATGTCTTTGCAAGTAATGAGTGAAACAACTCCATCCGGTGATGAATCGGGGTCGAATTTTATGCCCTTCACCCTTGCCCGAGGCTCCGAGCTATAGATAAATGCTCCGTATAAGCAATCTTTTGGAGATGGAATGTCATCCACATAAATAGCTTCACCTACATAATTGAATGGAATAAGCAACATAATCAATTTGATTACTATATGTTCATTGTCAATAGATTACAAGTAAAAAGGCAAGGTATAACAAACCAGAGGCTTGGAGGATAGCTCCAGTTTTTGTAACTGGCTCTCCGACTGGATAATATTCATTTTTGAACCGAATCTTCTGATTTGAGGATGATAACAAAGTTGGGCAGTCGGTTTTTCCGAATCGTTCATGCTCCGAGTCAATTAAGGGGCTTAGGAACTCAAAAAGGAACCCAACGGCCAAGCTTGATCTATAGGCTGGAGTAGAGGTGCCATCTTCAGGTACTACCAAAGTTTCAAGAAATGTAACAGCCTCATACAGCACACTACTGCTCAGCAATTTCCCATTTAGAAAATCCTCAACCTCCTTCACCCTAATAGCATGCTTGGTTCCGTAAGCACCAAACACGAACCGACAGCTCTTTAGCATAAATCCAGTAGGACTCTGAGACACCTGAGCCAAGAAAGCAGCATTCAAATACGGGAGTGCATTTCCAAGGGGACGCGGTGCAGCTCGATATGTTTCGAACAGTAACTTATTGCCAGCATCAGAAGAAACACTCGTACTTGGTTCCCAGCATGGGATTTTAATACTTAACAGAACAGTTTCCGAATCCAGAGAAGGCCTTCCAAGAAACTCCTCTAGTGTAAGCTTTAAACGACTTTGACTGGTAATTACCTCCACAATTGTATCCACAGAAAGTAGTATTGTAGCTATATCTGACGGAAAATGTTTCCTCTGTGCCATCATCAAATTCCCACCTACACTACCTGAATTCCTGATGAACCTTGAAGCAATCTTCTCCATGTGGTCACCGAGTTTTTCGAACACCATTTTACCTTCTTTACCGAATTCACCTTCATTTTCTTCCTTCAAAGTCTCGATAGCTTTAGAAATCGTCACAGCAGCTCCAATTTCGATCCCGGTTGGATCTTTTCTAATGACCGAAAGCTCGGGAATATATCTCAAATCAATATAGTTGTCATAGTGCACTAGTTCCTTGTAATAACCTGTTCCAGTGTTACCAACAATAATCTTCACTGAAGTTCCCATGTGCAATAAACTCTGTAGCTCCTCAAGACTAACAGGACTATACCAATGACATCTCTGGGAGTCCATATTGGCACCAGCTGTAGCTTCCTTCTCAAGAAACTCAGGAAACACACGAATCGCATCGTTACGGTCGAATCGAGGTAATCTACTCAGCTTTACTTCATTGCTTTCCCCTTTTCTCCAAAAGGAGTTGAACCCCAAATCCTCCATGTCAACATCAGAGGCAAAACTTTTACAGACATCGACAATAGGTCGGTAGCCGGTACATCGACAAAGGTTTCCTGCAATAGACTTTTCTGCTTCGGAAACTGTCAGCTTGGATAATCCCGGGCGGGGCTCTGCTCGATTCTTCGTCTTCTCGGCATCGACAAGAGCTGCATAGAGAGAAACACACATCCCAGGAGTGCAGAAGCCGCATTGAGAAGCATGGAAACCGGAGAACCGTTCTTGAATCGGGTGGAATCCATCCTTGCTGTTCCCGATACCCTCGGCTGTTGTGATTGAGCATCCGTTTACACTGCCCAGCAGTGTGAGACATGAACTCACAGTGAAGTCCTCAACCTTGTCACTTACAGAATCATACTTCGATAGTAGCACAACGCAGGCACCACATCCTCCTGTTAAGCATTTGAACAAATATCTCATCAACATACAAAAAATTTACACTTATGTACCCAAAAACACGAAAAGAGGTTACCCTTTCTTAATGAGAATCATGTCCATAACTGAAAATGATGAAAACCCATTACAACAAACAAATAAATAAACAGAATTGTGCATTGAAAATGAAAAAGAAAAAAAATAACACGAATACGAAATAGGCTTAAATAAATTTATCTAAAGTCATTTTTCTTCCCAATGGTATACTTTTAGCCATTACTAAAACACAGTTACATAACAAAGAAAATCCATTATGTTCGAATTTTGAACAGATACATGATCACAAGAAGATGAAATAAAAACGGAGGGGAAAAGGAAAACCTTCACCACAGCTTAGCTTGACACTTTTAAAATGAGTTTGATAGCGCAGAAACTCAAGCAAAGTCATCGAAGGATCAACGTTGCACATCTCAAACCTATGCCCATTAACAGAAAAAACCAAACTCTGCTTCGTTGTAATATCCATGGGGTCGATGTTCTTCACTGTTCTATCAAAGCTGGTATAAGAATTGAATACTGAAACTGAAGTCAACTTCTTCAACGCTATGAAAAGCACAAGATTTGAAATTTCCGATGTGTATGTTGAAATATGAACGTCTCTTTATTTAGGTTTAAATTTGATTCATACGTTTCATTTTTATAAAATTAGAATTTTATTTAATTTTTATCTATTTTTTATTTAAATTTTATTTTAACGTTGACCTAACCATGAGTATAAAAAAAAAACAATAATTATTTAGTCTCACGTTTAAGTTTTTTTTCTTCAATTTAACAGTCAATTTTTTTTTTATTAATTCAAGGCAAGTATAAGGTAGTATTTGTTCAAAAATAACTCTAAATCACTTGACATTGAAAGATCATACCCCTGATATTCATGATGTTCGAACTCAGAACCTCTCGAACAGTAATTTAACACTTAATTTTTAAAATTAAATAAAAATAGTAAATGTAAAAGAACAGAAAATCTTTTTTTATAATGATCGGATCAATAATTAGCCATAAATTGAATATAAATTATTAGAAAAACAAGATTTTTAAATAAAAATTAAAAATGACTAAATTTAAAAAAAATGTTATTTTATGATAATTACTGCATTATAGCTCTTAGATTTGTGTGGTCTAGTGTAGATTTTCAATTTTAAAAAATGTTATTTTTAATTTAAATTTTATCATATGAACAATGTCTAAAATTATCTACTAATTCACCAATTTTTATTTTATAATAATGAAATTAAAATTCTTTTTTTGAATGAATCAAATTAAATTCTAAACAATATTAAATATAAGCAAATATTAATACAAATTTGTCATATAATTTTATTATAAAAGCTATTGATCAGAACGCTATTTATTCTAAAATTGATAATTAAAATAAAACATATCTAAAATAGAAAAACACCAGCACTATAGTTTACCCTTGTATTAATATTTTCGTTTGTGCCAACTGAATTATTTTAAGCGATAAGCAACGTGATATAACTTAAGTAATGTTTTATGTTTAAGTCTTTGTATATGTAGAAAATTTTCGTTGGAAGACTCATCAACCAAAGTCAAATGTACGATACAGATCAATTTATGTTAATTAAGACGAAGTCTTAAAATCGAGAGAACAACTAAAAACAAAATATATTTTCATTTGTGTGGACATGTTTACTTCGATGTGATGGCCACCTTAACTTTTATTATATATATAAAAAATAATTAATACGAATTTTCTATTATCTTATTCAATGGTTAATGTTCTAACGAAAGAAGAATTTGATTGTATTAGGTTAACTTGAAAACTAAGTTCGCAATTGTTATTATCATTTATGGAAAATTTTACAATATTGGATGAGTATGATGAGCAATATTAATATAATTTATAAAAAAATTAATTTAAACAAAAATTAACAAATACCAATAAATTAGTTAAATATTTAAAGATAAATTATTTAAAATAAAGGGTAAATTTTACCAGTGATCACCTAACTATTTTCCATTTTCATTTTGACCATCATTTTTGAAATCTTATCAATCAAGTCAGTCAACTATTTAATACATTCAATTAAGCCACGTGCCATTAATATTTAACGGAGAAACTGATGTGACAGTTAAAGTATTTAGTTTAATTACACATTTGGTCATTGTTACTTATATATTCTATCAATTTTGTCCTAATTTTAATTTATTATAATTAAATATTATATAAAATTATTAGATATATTTATAGTTTTATTTTTTATAAAAGTATTTTGAGAATAAATTATTGATTAAAGTATAAAAAATTAAAGAATTGATTTTAGGATAGAATTTATAAAAAAATTGCAGTAAAAATTCAAGTTGAATAAAAAATAGGGTAAATTAGATATTTACTCATCTAATTATTCATGTGGTTTCGTTTTAGTCACCAAATTATTTTTTTTTCAAAATCATCACTAATATTACGTTTTTTGTTTCATTTTGATCAACAATCGTTAAAAAATAAAAGGTGATGTTAACATGTCACCGTATGGTAATGCTACATCATCATTGAAACAATAACAAAAAATGTTAAGTCAATAGTTATGTTAATTTTTAACAGTAGATGATCAAAATAAAATCAAAACCTAACATTTGTGAAGATTTTGACAAACAAATAATTAGATACCCTAACATAACCAAAGTGATAGTTAAGTGATTAAATACATAATTAATCTTTTTTTAGTTGATAAACTTTCTCTGCTTGTGATAAGAAAAAAACTTTTAAAATTCATATTAATTTGGAATAAGTACAAGATGATATATGTTCTAAGATAACTCTCAACCATTTGACCGCATCTCAGAATCCAAAAAATTAAATGATTTATAATGATAACATTTTTATTAGTATATACTTCCTTTCTTTATTATTATCATAATTCATTATTTTTTGATAGTATAATTTCTAATAATTTTATAAAATACAGAATGTACATATTACATTAAAGTAAATATAAAAGTTGTTGTTGAATTAGTATAATTTCTAATAATTTTATAAAGTACAGAATGTACATATTACATTAAAGTAAATATAAAAGTTGTTGTTGAATTAGTATTTATATGTTGAAAGATATAGTGCTTGAATTGATAACAGTAAAGACGGGGTTGATGGTTAAATAATACTCTATGTATATATCATTACTATATATGATAGAATAAAATTATTTATTAAAATTAGGATCAAATTGATATAATATATAAGTAACCATGACCAAATGTGCAATTATACCAAATATTTTAACTGTAACATGAGTTTATCCTTTAAATATGAACGACAAGTGGCTTATTTAATGCATTTAAATAGTTGAGTGACATGATTGATAAATTTTCAAAAATGGTGGTTAAAAGGAAAAGGGGCAATAGTTTGGTGGTCACTAGAATAGTTCACCTTTTTTTTAAAAATAATTTATCTTTAATTTTTTAACTAATTTATAATTATGCGTTGACCCATTTAAAATTTTAAATTTTTATAAATTAAATTAATGATACTTATCGTTAGTGGTGCTCATCGTGCTTGTCCAGCATATCCAGCATAGAATAATCATCCATCATTTAATATGAAAATTTATTGTTAACCACAATAAAATCTTCTTAGAAACAATGAAATTTAATTCTTAATTGGGTAAATTAGACATTTAGTGCCAAAACTATCAGACTTTATCTGTTTTAGTACCTAAACTTTTATTTTTTTTTTCAAAATCATATCTAACGTTAGTTTTTGTTTAATTATGGTACCTTGGTGTCGTTAAAAACTTAACGGATGATTTGCACGTGACACCTTTTTTATGGGTAAATTACATCATTCATCGCTCAACTATCTTCTCGCTCTTATTTTGGTCACTAAAGTTTATTTTTTAATTTAATTACTTAACTTTCAAATTACTCTTAATTTAATCACTCTAACTTTCAAATTTAATTTTTTTATTATATATTAATAAAATAATAATAAAAATTTCATGTTGCAAAAATTATTAATAAATAAGAGTGATCAAAATAGGAGTAGTTTGAAAGTTGAGTAGTTAAATTAAAAGATTTTAAACTTTAGTATCAGAATAGAAGTGAGAAGATAATTGAGTGATGAATGATGTAATTTACACATAGAAAGTTATAGGGCCGTTAAGTTAAATGTTGTGTATGATTTTGAAAATATTAAAAGTTTAGATACTAAAACAGAATAAAAATTGATAGTTTAGGTATTAAATTCATAATTTACCCATTAAATGTGTTATACTTTGTAAACGGTTATCCCACTTCTGATAAATAGGAGCATCTACCACTCGAAAGCCTTTCCAAGAAAACACGGGCTTCCATTAAATTAACAAACTGATACCCATGTGGTTGACGTGCAAGGACCACCCTTCAGTTCACCATTCATTGTTATGATCAATCGTTATCGATGATGACAATCGATGCTAGCCGACAACCATGGTAAGCAGAGGCCAACATTGAGGGATTTCGATCCGATTTTGAATTAAATTGATATTTTATCTAAAGTTTATGACTAAATTGATATTTTAACTCAATTTTAAAGATTGAATTAAATAATAACTATTTTAACATGTCACATCGTTAAAGTAACATAAAATATGTCTCCATGACGAAAATATAACAAATTGATAATATAAATAATTAAAATACAATTTTTTTCAAATCGATGATAAAAATTAAACAAAATTGAAACGAAGCTAACCAAACTTGTAGTTTACCCTTTAAATACTATAAGTAGATTTTCAATTTCCAATTAAGATTTATTTTAATTTTAGTAGTTTTACTTAGTAAAGGGAGTGTTGTTTCTTTAAGGTATGTTTACATTATCAATAATTAAAATTATTATAAATAAATATTATTTTATAATTATCTCATACTGTTAAAAAGGGTAAATTATGCGTTTAATACCTAAACTATTAGTTTTGGTCCATTTTAGTACCTAAACTTTTAGTTTTTTCAAAACCATATATAGCGTTTAATTTTTTTCCCGTTTTAGTACCTCACCGTTAAAAACTTAAATGGCGGTTTTCACGTGGCATCTTTTTATGGGTAAATTACATTATTCATCACTCATCTATCTTTTCGCTCCTATTTTGGTCACTAATAATTTTTTTTTAATTTAATTGCTTAACTTCAAAATTACTCCTAATTTAATTGGCCTAACTTTTAAATTTATTTCTTTATTTTTAATTATATATTAAAAATAAAAAAAATATCATGTCAAAAATTGTTAATAAAATAAATTAGAGTGACTAAAGTATGAGTAATTTATAAATTGAGTAGTTAAATTGAAAAATTTTAAACTTAGTACCAAAGTAGAAGGCAGCAGATAGTTAAACGATGAATGACGTAATTTACCCATAAAAAAATACAGTTAAGTTTTTAACGCGATGTTTTTAAATGAAACAAAAACTAAACATTATGTATGCTTTTTAAAAAAAATTAAAAATTTAATACTAAAACTGAAAATTTAAATATTAAACACTTAAAAAAAGTACAACTATAAATTAGCTATGCCCTGTGGCATGGGGTGCTTTCCCATGGATAATAAAGGACCCTATGGAAACCTTCTTTCGAT